GAAGTAGGGAAAGAAAATGTAGTTTTAAAATTCACTCGTTTAATGTTTTCTCATTATGTTAATTTGCCCACATTGTAATCCACCTGCATTTTTCTGCTTATTCACACTCACAAGGTCTTCCAGCAATTTGTTCCCAACCACCTGGCATTTCATTCTCCAAAAAAACTATAGCTCTACCGTAAGCTTAAGATGCAGGGTCCGCTTCTTTCTCCAGATTGTTTATAAAACTGTTAACTCTGAAGCTTGGGGAACTCCTACTCTTAACATTTCACTGTTTAGCAATGTATTTATGCTCCATATTCAGCTAACATTTACTGAGCCCCTAGTATGTGCCAGGTTGTATTCTAGGCGCTTTTACTTGCATTACCGAGTTCATTCCCCCAAACAGCCCAGTGAGATGAATGTTGAGACAAAACTGAGAGAGGATAAGTAACCCGGCTGAGAAAACATCCCACGGGGCAGACCCAGGATTCAAGCCTCAGTGAGGGTCATGGAAGGGAAACAAATAAAAACAATTACAGCTTGTGCTAAGTGCTCAGAGAGAAAGCGTGTTGTGATCAGGACTGTAGGGCCTCGTCTACGGCCATACCACCCTGAACGCACCCGATCTCATCTGATCTTGGGAGCTAAGCAGGGTCGGGCCTGGTTAGTACTTGGATGGGAGACAGCGGGCCTCTGTGAGAGCTGACGTGTAATTGCAGCTGAAGGATGAACAGGGGTGAGCCAGGAGTGGCACCAGGTGAAGGTGGTAAGGACACTAAGGTTTAGTGTGTGCTGGGAACAGCCGGAAGGTCAGCCTGTGTGCAGCTTCGTGAGCAGGCGGATGAGTGATGAGACGTGATCTTGGAGAGGTGGGGAGGAGCCTGATCATGTTCCAGCACTGCGGCCTGAGTGAGGAGATTGGACTTTAAGTTCATTGCAGAGCTGTGGAAGGGTTTTAAGTGAGATGACATCATCGGTTTACATTGTTAAAGAGATCATGGTTTTCTTATTACAAAATGTGTTTAAGGAACCGTATGGGGATCCAATGCAATGGGAAGTGTAGATTGCCTGGCCTGTGTTCGTGGTTGGGACTGTTAGGAAGGCGAGGTCTGGCTTTTAGGTACCTGAGAGCCCACATTGGAAACCACATGTTTAGGGTCCAAGTGATGTGAAGCCTTACCCTTACTCTTTGTTTCTGTTCTGAAACTTTTACCTGTCCTTGACAAAAGAGTTCCTACAAACTCACCAATAAATTTATTTGTAGACTATTTTTTGCCCTAGGTTTTTCAAAGTCAATGATTTTTTTCAAAATACTTGAAAGTAGGACTGAGGGTAATTTTAGAGTTGGAAGACCTGTCAAGATAAAGTACAAATTTTTGTTGAAACAATAGAATCAAAGCACAGATCAGCTGAATATCATGGTCAAGGTCACACTTACTGGGAGGATTGGAGTCTGAGTCTTCTACCACACAGTTAAATGCAAGGGCAGAGGATCTAGAGAGGGGACAGTGTTGGCATGTTTAAGAAGCAAGACAGCCCAGAGTGGCTTAAGCCCCGTGCACAAGAGGGGAAGTGGCATGAGATGAGGTTAGCGAGGAAGGCAGGAACTTCTGCTGTCGGTAAAATTACAGTGCACGTGAGGATCACCAACGAAAACACAGTTGATAAAGACTTAAAAATGTAAGTAAATCTGTTGTAAAGAAAATAAATTCAAAAACATTTATTAGGAAGAAAAGGATGCCGTTGAATTGCAACTGGAAATACCGTGTAAATAATATGTTTTTCTTGGGTCTGTCATTAAAATGATGTGGCACCGTGTCACTGGTATTCATGGGACTGACTTGATGTGTCTCTCCTACCACCCAAATTCTGATCTCCAGTACATTACAAGTGAACTAGAGCTTCTTGGAAACTCGCTGAAAGGACAAAGGATCCTGCTTCCAAGGGGTTTTCTCTGGCCAGATTCATCAAAGAATTCACTGTCGGTTCAACAAAGCATCTCAAAAAGAGCCTAATTAATTCTGTTAGTGTAACTCAAGCACCAAGAATTAGCAGTAGGGGAGTTGTTGGTGACCTTGACCGCAGTGATGGCAGTGGCATGTTGAGGCTGCAGATGCAGGCGGTGTTTGCTGGAGGAAGTAACAAGAACTTAGAAGGGAGAAGCAATGCATTTGGATGACTGTTAAAAAAAGTTTTCCTGTGAAAGGGCCAGGAAAATGGGATGGCAGCTAGAGATCTGAGGTCAGAGGAGCGGTGTTGTTGGTACAGGGGATAGTGAAGCTTATTTGTAGTGCTACTCCTGCTTTTGTCTTGAGTTTCAGAATCTGATCTGCTTCTGTTCCTTAATTGAGAATGTTTTAATGTTTCAGTGTCCTTGTTTATTCAGTTAGCTTTAACTTCTAACTAAAATGGTCCCATAAACTCTTAAGCTTTTTGAATAGAAGAATGGAGTCTTATTTACCATTTTATCCTCAACAGTGCAAGTATGGCATAGTCAGTGAATGTGTTTCAAAAAAAAAAAGAGTTAAAAATAAGCAGAAAATAAAAAGAGCTTGGCTGTAAAGTTATCCTTAAGATTTATTCATTGGAACGGATTCTTTATTTTTGGTATTCTTCGTTATCAGGCTGAGTATATGGGGCTAAGATGTGTCTGCGTCAGATGAACCTGGAAATAGCCTAATGGATTTATAGAGAAAAGATACTGAGTATATGCAATAAAAGTAAACTATTCCTCCAAAACAGGCAGTTTGAGTTTCAAGGTAAGAAAAAGAAAATTCAGATTAAGAAAAAAATAAAAATAAATAGATCACGGCGGTATACATTTGTGATGAAAATAGCCCAAAACCAAATTGTTCTAAGAGCAATTATGTAAGTGTTCTTTGCTAATTTAAGGGGGGAAAGTACATTTTTAAAAAATAATCTACTATGAAGGCGTATTTTAGCATCTGAAGGTTTGGATTTTGGATGCACTTAGAACTAAAATTTGAACTAAATTCAAGTTACTGACAGTGTAACAGTGGTGGGCTCCAGCTTATCAAGATATCATTATATAGATACCATTATACCTTATATAGATACCATTTTTGACAGCATACTCTCAATTGTATAATCGCTTAAAACAAAATTTAAAAAAAATCAGTTGGTAAAATGCAGAACTGGGATGATCTTTGAGATGAACCTTTGCTTTTAATCAAGATCAAATTTAAATCAATCTAGACTAAATCAGGTGTAATATTTTTAGAGCTCTTTAGAGAACAGGGTTGGTAGCATCCTTAGGCTGTCATGTAAGTGTGTATATAAAGTTAATTTGGATAGAATTATTTGCAGTCAAGTTTTTAGAGTATGACAGAGGATTTTATTATTGTTTTCCCTCTAGCAGATACATAAAGTTAATTTATGTAGTTATTTTGCTAGATGTAATTCTAACTTATTAATTTATAATAATAAACCTGGCTTAAGAACTGATGCAAAAGATCAACACATATCTTCTTAGAAGAATATTTCCAGAGTAAAAATGAATTATAATTCAAAGTATGATGATATTTTGTGTGTCATCTGGGCCAGGCTGTGGTGGCCAGTTGTCTAGCTATTGCTGTGAAGATATTTTTTAGATATGATTAATGTTTAAGTCAGTGGACTTTGAGTAAGGCAGGTTACCTTTTATAATGCGGGTGGGCCTCATCCAATCAGTTGAAGGCATTAAGAGCAAAGTCTGAGGTCCCCTGGAGAAGCAGTTCTGCCCCTAGACTGCCTTCAGACCTAAGGCTGCAACATTAACTCTTCCTGGCTCTCCAGCTTGCCAGTCTGCTCTGAGATTTCTGACTGGCCATGTGTGCCCATCCTTAAAATTCATTCTCTCTCCCGTCCCTCCTTTTCCATCCTTCCTGCTCTTTCTCCCTCTCCCTTTCCCTCTCGTATGTATATGTAGATACATACATACACATGCACACGCGCACACACACGCACACGCCTATTGGTTCTGTTTCTCTGGAAAATTCGGACAAGTCACAGGGGTTGAAAAGCTTTCTCTACAGAGGACTAGACAGTAACAGTCCAGGCTCTGCCAGACATTCTGTCTGTCCCAGCTACCCCCCTGCCATGGTAGCGCAGAAGTAGCCATGTAAGTGAGTGGATGTGTCTGTTTCCAGTAAACTTTATTTACAGAAACAGGCGGCTGGCTGTCTTTGGACTGAGGACTGTCATTTACTGACCCCTGGATTAAATGACTTTTTGATAATTCATGCAAAAGAGATAAGTGAGGTATACATTTTTAAGGACGAATACTCAAGCTAGATTTGGAAGAAGAAGCAGTTTGTCCTCCTTTTGTATATTAAGGGTTTCTACTTTGGCTGACAGACTCCTCAGCTTTGTTTTTACTTGTTTTATTTTTACACAGTTTCTTAAGTCAGTACTACAGCAAAAGTATCACTCAGCAGCTCTAAGCTGATGACTGCCCAATCAGCCTTTTCTCTGATGCCCCACTCTGCTTCTTCAAGAAGTGATTAATAAGGGAGGAGGGGGTTAGGCAGAAAGGACAACCAGAAAACAGAACTGGCCCCTCAAATGACCAGCCTTGCAGTATCTTGATAGTTCCACATTCCATGGTGTAATTCTTAAAGGCCTTCTTTTTGCTCTGGCGCAGCCTCGGTAACACTTATAATAATTTGTCATTCCCACGCTCTCTCTTCCAACACACCATCAGTGCCAAGAAGGTATTCCTTGTTGTCTCATTGTATTGCAGTTAATCAGGGAAGTGTTATAAGTTCTGCAGGTATATTGGAAAGTTAGACATCTCTAAAGCAAAATATTATCATTGTAGGCTATGGAACTGGAAAGAAATTAGGCTAATCCAAGATGAAATTAGGCAAATAAATTTTCAAAATGAAAATCAAATTGTGACCCACAATGTTACTATTGTACGTATTTAGGTGGTCACCAGATACACGAAATGTTTTATTGTGATAGCAACAGTGCTCTTATTCTCAAGAGCAAATTGCGTCTAACTTCTTTGCCACATCAAGGATGAAGTTTTAGTCTCCTCCTCGCCCTATGTTAAGGATGAGCACCACTACGTTTGTTTATGCTGTCCAGTTTCTGGAATGCCCATCTGCATAAAGAGGCGAGATACCGAGATACTAAGTTATTTGTCACCTTTCCTTTTTCACTTGTTAAAGTCTATTTTCAGCCAAAATTTTGCATCAGTTTCTTTCAGCAGTCTGACTTTCCTCTTTGTAATTTTTCTTCATTGTGGGTCCCCTTTCCTATATGTTACGTATTACGGTTAGTTATTAGCAAAACCAAATACTACGAATTGTTTGTACACTGGGGGGCTTACTGTGTGCCGGGCACTGTGATACGCACGTTACCTACGTCATTACCTGTTTTAATTCCGCAGCAGCGCTGATGGCACTGCTGCTGTTGGTGTTCCACTCACGTGGTGACGGACTGCTTGTGTGGAGTGACTTGTGTAAGCCCCCAGGCGGCCGGGCTGGAATGGAGCTTTGCCGGTCTCTATCCAGAGCATTTGGTCTTTAGCACCATTATGCTTAGTAAGATTCGCTTTCATTGTGACAAACTTAAACTAGTGAAAAGTAAAATGAAGAGCCAAAACTTGGAGGGAAAGACCCTAGGAATGTATAAAAGTTTTCTGTCTTCATTCAAAGTTGCCTGAGGCCCAGTTGAAGCTAGTATATATCTTCTTCAGCTTTTCCTTTTTAAAGGGTCGTGAACACTTGATCTTCCGTCTCTCCTTCCTTATTTATATAATGAGGTGCTGCCTTCATTTCTGGGCACCTGTGCTAGCAGGCGAGTACAGGTAAGATTACTTTTGGTTTTCTAAATTGCTAGTGGAGTGTCCGCAGCATGCTAACGTGACAGGTGAAAGAAACAACTTCTTTCTTGAATTTTTTGAGCCCACAAAAGAAAGAATTAACATTTCTCATAGGTCTGCTTTGGGGTTCCTCTTCTATGTGATTCAAATGAATGGTATTTTCTTCTGTTTGCCTTAATCGCTTTTTTATTCAGTAAACATTTATGGGGCAGATGTTCTATGCTAGTTGCTGTGCTTTAATGAGGAACTAATTTTAATAAGATCCAGCAGAGCCCAAAGTCATAATGTTTTTGTCACATGCATAAAACTAAGACTGAAAATTAACTAATGTGCTACTCATTGTGGCTTGGAGTAGAGATCATCTACCTCCATTTTCTTTTAATAAAAAATAGAAATAATTACTAATTTACCTCAAAAGCTGGTTTTTAGGAAATATGATAGTTGGTTATAAAAGATTTGAAATTTCTGTATGTGTGCAGTTGAAGAATAAGTATCACCATAATTTTTAAATTGACCAAACTGTGAAATTCTGTGAAATAATAAAATAGCACTGGGTAAAACTCAAAGTTCACACTGAAGCCCAGTAGTTACTTTTGGAAGATCTGTCGATAAAAAATGATCGGAGTGGGGAGGGTATAGCTCAAATGGTAGAGTGCATGCTTAGTATGCATGAGGTCCTGGGTTCAATCCCCAGTACCTCCTCTAAAAATAAATAAATAAACCTAATTACCCTCACCGCCCAAAAAACAAACAAACAAACAAAAATGATCGGTATTGCTATTTAATTCTCATGTTTGTGTAAATAATTAAACTACTTTTGACCTACCCTCTTTTTTTCCCAAAAATGAGTCTGTATTTTCCATATACTATCTTTGTATACATACATATATTGAAACTTACGTGGCAAAATCACAGCCTTTTCTTAAGCAGTCATTTATGAACAAAAATACTTGCATTTGCAAATAACGTTGTATTCTATGTGTTTTGATAATGAGAAAGGAAACATTGAAATTGACAACTCTCTTGCTAAATGGAAAACTGTGATCGTTGACCTACTAACCAGGCAAACATGGTTGAAAGAACATTAGTTTCCTCAATATCGTAAAGCAAAATCAAGTATAGTCCATGTGTCTCTTAGCGAAAGAGGTCAGTGTGAAGGTTTTGATATTGCTGTTTAATCAGGGATAAATCATAAGATTTTGCTAATATTTACTAAGTCATGTGGAAGTAGTTATACATGACATTATTTACATACGTAACAAATAAGGGATTACTTCCCAAAATATATAAAAGCCTCTCAGTAAATAAAAAAGGATAGGGAAGCAGTAATTCAAGCAGAAGAGATAGGGAAAGCCATTTTATTTTCGATAAAACTTACTTTCTTTCTTTGTTATATGAGGGGGAGGTAATTAGATTTATTTATTTATTTATTTATTTATTTATTTATTTATTTATTTATTTATTTATATTTGGAGGAGGTGCTGGGCCTGGAACCCAGGAACTTGTGCATGCTACGCATGTGCTCCCCCACTTGAGCTATACCTTCCCCGCCTGTAAAACTTATTTTTCTAAACTTCACTAGTAATCAGGGAAATGAATACGAAAACAATGATTTCTATGTTGGCCTAGAATGTTGACAAAAACTGAAGGCATGTTATGTTTATAGGAAATTGGATAGGCTCAGAATTTTTGTGGGTGTGTAATTGATACAGCCTTTTTAGAATTTCACATTTTACTCTATAAATGTTACCCGAATTGTTTACCATGAGCATGCATCCAGGAGTAACTTGTTTGATTGGAAAAAAGAGAGAGAAGATCTATGAATTTTGAAGTACATTAAGAGAAACACAAGCTGTGAAGGGCAGAAATAGCTATTCAGAAGGTGTCTTTGAATGCATATCCAGCCAATAGAGTAATGGTCCAGGTCAAAAATATTATCACCTCATACGAACTGTACTTCTTTTTTTAAATGTCACTTTGTTTTACTGTTTTCAGTTCTGACAGCTAGAGTCATGGGTTAGCAAATACATTTTCTTTAAAATGGCAGCATCTCTGAAATGGTCGTTAAGGGTCATTCCTACATAAATGCACAAATGGAATCAAATTGCTTTTGCATTTCCTTAGATTAGCTGGAGGATGGGAGATTTTGATCTAAGGAAGAACTGTAGTCAGTTTTGGAGCACTTTGAAGACAGGGAAGTCAGTGCCTAAAGAGAAATGCATGAAGGATGTGGTGCGGTCAGATGTGAAAGACAACTTAACTAGGGTCCTTCCTCTGCCCTCACGTGAACCACTTCAGGATCCTGTGAGAAAGTGCACTGGGACTTTCTAGCCTCTGATTGACAAGCACACTTGCGGAACAGGCCAGGTGTAAGTAACGATCATCTGTGCCTGACCTGTGCTGGGGATCAGAAATGTTAAAGGAAATTGAGAGACCAGGAAATACTTAAAGGAGCCGCATCAAGGTTGATGAGAAGTCTGGAAATCATCTGTTATTTGGGCTAAAGAGAACATTTAAGGGGGATATAACTTTAACTATATGAAGGTCTGCCATTTAGATCTTCTGTTTATTGTACAGATTGGAAGCCCAGATACCACAGGTAGAAGCCACAAAGAGGCTCATTGCAGCACAAGCTAATCTTACAATCATTCTTCAAGCAATCCAATACGGGGATGGGCTGCCTTCCAAAACCGTGGCTCCTGCTGGCTCTAGAAATGGCTAAACTGACTGGCTTTTAGTAGCTTTCTTGGGAAAGAGGTTGGTTGGATCAGGTAATCTTAAAAGTCTCTCACACTCTTACCCTCTGATACCAGTGCTTCTTAAGGCAATGAAATTATATTTCAGGACGAAGTCCTGGAATACCGTACCCCTTTCACTAGCCAAATAGGAACAAAAAATACATAAATAAAGTCAAATCTTCCCTTGCTACAACTAAGATAGGCCAAAACTCCCCAAAGACTTCAGTACAAATTGAGGAAGACCAAAGGGGAAACAAAACAAGCAGACAACACAAAAGTAAGAAAACTGCCTGGGTTATTAGGTGGGGTGTCTTGTCCCAGCTTGTTGGAGCTCTGTGGTCCCTGCCCGAATCCACCTGCCAGCTTGGGATATTTACGGCAGCCCCTCAGGGATGGCAGTTTCTCAGGAACGTGGCCTGGGCCCCTCATTGTACAGTAGGGAGCGGTCAGTCGTCGGCAGTAAGCATTTGTACTTTTAGAAATACAAGAGAAGTGTGCACTGTGGACACAACATTTTTTCCCTTCTGGAGAGTGAACTTGGTGGTTGCCAACTTGTATAGAGCAATAAATGTCTCTGGAAACGTGATGAGCTGGAGAACGCTGCTTTTATCCGAGCTCTGTAGTTGGAAGGAAAACCGAGAAACTGATTAATATTAGGAGTAAGACCTATGAGGGCCACGCTGGACAGGTCTGGTTTTCGGCGTGGGAGCCAGGGCTGCAGTACCAGCAGGGGCGTGGCTGAAGCAGCCTCCAGTCTTCCCTCCCTACGCCTCCCCCGCTTTGCTGGCCTCTCCTCTAATCCAAGTGGAACAGATATGTAAAGAATGTTGGTTTGAAAAGGAGCCAGATTAAACTACTCAAGTGCCTGTGTCTCTGTCAGGCCCTCTGTTTGCCATCAGCTTCACATAACCTATCTCTTTTTTCTGTTTATTTCTATAGTATCCATGGAAAACATTGGAGAACAAGGTAAGATATTATTGCTTTAAATATAAAACTTCAAAAAAAATAGCTTGAAAAACCAAACAGCATTCATTGGTTGGAGTTAATCAGTTATACTTTGAGGATGTTTGGGTCAAGATGGGGTTAAAGACATCTCATTCTCCTAGTCTCCAGGCTGAATTCTCTCAGACACTTGGCAGGGAGCTCCACCCTGAAGCGGCAGTCACTGTGCCAAAGACTCCTGTGGTTTCGAGAAACAGGAAAATCAACAACTCAGAGTATTACCCCATACCTGAGTCACCTGTGTAATTCATGAAACATATCATTGGCTCCAGTCATCTCACACTGATTTAAGTGCCTTATTAGATAATTGAATGTTTCACTGATTCTATGAGTATCACCATTTTTGAAAAAGTTGAAAATCACTTTTAAAATTACCAAACATGCTATATTTTAAACTAACATATTTTGTTCAACTTTATCTGACAGAATTAAGTTATATGTTAATGTATTATCCAGAATTAATCGTTATCACTCTACATGAAGTTAATATGTTAGATTTGCAAAGAACTTCAAGATTAAAACATCACACAAAGTGTGTTTATGTACATTACCTAAGAAAAAGTATTCAGAATGCTTTTCTTACAAGTTGTCCCGTGTGATAACTAAGAAACTTGGACTCCTCTAGGAAGAAATCTCTTTGTTCACATGGTCTCTGTTTAAATGTTTTGTCACTGAAACAATTAGTGCCACCTGATTGGACTCAGGCTGAACAAAATAAGCAGACAGCTTCTCAAGTAGGAACTGCTTTCGCTATTCTTTGTTAGTGAAGCACAGTTCTTAAAGCCTGAGTGTTTTACCATTTCTTTAACACTGTGTTTATGATTTAAAGTTGCAGACATAACTGCCTTATTTTTACAATCTGGGAGAGGTCCTTATGGCCATTTTGCCAATAGATGGGCCTGTTTACAGATGAGAGGATTCTAATCATGGGGTATTAATTAAATAATTAACTTATTTTGTTATTTTAGAAGAAGCACATCTTTTGTGAATACCCTGGTTTTAGTTATGTGTTTGCATTTACAGTGATAATTATGTTTCTCTCATTTTAGTTGTGTGCCTGATTGCTTATCATCTACTTTTCGCAATGTTTGTCTGGTCATATTGGAAAACTATCTTTACGTTACCAATGAATCCTTCAAAAGAAGTAAGTTAAAATATTAGTATAGTTATCTCCTAAAGATGGAAATCTGTAATACTGATGTCTGAAGTGTATTTTGTCTTTTTATTAATGTTGCAAACTTATTAAGTGTAATGATTTTTCTTATATTAACGTGTTAGTTGAATACTTGAATTTTCATTTGGTAAATAGTATTTTTGCACTGAGTTAATATTATGTTTCTAGAATCAAATCTGTTGTGTGTTCCATTTGTACTTTAGAGTCAGGATGGATGGATGGATAGATATGATAGAGCTGAAGGCAGACATGTTTCTATTATAATTATCATACTAACGGTGCATTATTTGGCTGTCAGCCACCAGAAACAACAACAAAATAACAATGTAACTAATCTCTACTTTCAAAATCTGTAGCTAGTCTACAGCTGCCCAGGTACCCAGGCTCCTATCCTGTTGCTCTGATATGTGTAGCCTCCATTCCCAACATTTCCTCTTGGCCTAAAATAGCTGCTCCAGTCCAGCCATCACATCTGCATTCCAGACAGCAGGCCAGAGAAAGTAGAAAAGAAGAGTAGAAGTAAATGTCCTTCTCTTTAAGGACACTAGTAGAAATTGCTGATACCATTTCCACTTACATTTAGAACTTAGTTATATAGCCATATTTACTTGCACAGAAGGCTGGAAATTTAGTCTTTATTCTCAATGGCCATGTTAACCATATTAACTAAGTGAGAAGAAGGACAGAGTGGGTACTGGGGGACAACTAGCAGTCTCAGCTACACAAGGTTTTTCAATAGAGTTAAATGGCCAAAGTTGCATTTTGAAAAGATCATTCTTGCTAACTTTGTTCCTAGGTCATTCGTCCTGGTTAAATGTTTTGCTAACTTTGTTCCTAGGTCATTCATCCTGGTTAAATGTTTTGGAGCAAAGGACTGTGTCTTACTCATTTTTGTATCCTTGGCACTTAGTCCACATTGTTGGATAGAAATTCTTTGCTTCAGTAATAATAGTGTGGTTTTAATAAGCTAGCTTAAAAAAAAAAGTCTAGGCATCACTGTAAATTGTCTACTGAAGTAATCTGAAATGTAGCTGTGGTCAAAAAGGCCAATGAATATTCTAGATGAACTGGGAAAGGATATTAAAAACAAAACCACAGATATTTGGACAATTAATGGCATGCATGTGCCAAATGTGTTAGATACAGCCTTTTTTTCTTCTATTTTTTTTCCTATGTCCTTTTCCTCCCTCCTACCATGTTTGCTTATTTCCTGTCATCTTTCTTACCCCTATCCTGGCCCTAGTTGCAGGTTTGAAGGAAAATGCTGATTTTTATCATAGGCGATCTCAGTATTCTCTGGTGATTTACCTATGACCTCTACGTGGACCATTCTCAAATCTATTTCAAGCTCTGACCTCTCCCACCCATTTCAAACTTAGATATCTCCCTGCCAAACACAGCTCTTTCCTTCATCATTCCACTGACATCACAGATATTACACCTCAAAAACCGAAGTCACCACCCTCTCCTTCCCCAAACCATGACTCATCTGCTTCTTATACGGGTTCATACCACTGCCAACCACACTGTCATTCAAGCCAGAAGCTTGGCAGCCTTGCCCCTCCCCAAACACCCAAATCCTGGAATGTTTCCACCTCCTAGTTGTTCTTTTTCAGTCACAGCCCTTTTCCTTTATCATTGCCCTAATTCAGAGAGCCTCAGTCATCTCTTTTGTCTGAGACATTGCAGTCTTCTCCATGGCGTCACTCTTTACCATCTTGCCTGCGTTCCCTTCCGAGAACCCTGTAAACATTCATCCTTCATCCTAAGCTGAAGTTTAACATTTTCATTCTCCTGCTTGTGTCTGTTCAGTGACTCCATGCATCCCACAGGGGATTTTGTGTTGTTGTTGTTGTTTGTTGTTGTTGTTGTTGTTGTTGTTTTGAGCAGAGAAAGGTTTATTGCTGGGCTGAGCAAGGAGAATACATGGCTCATGCCCAAAAACCTCCGAACTCCATGAAGGCTTTCAGCTGAGCATTTTTAAAGTTCTGCTGAAGGAGGGGCGTCCCAGGATACATGATCAGCTGTGCACAGTTCTGATTGGTGGATGGTGCACAATCCTTGGGCGCCAGAAGACTGGGGGCCACGTCAAGTAGCTGATTCCTTCCATTCCCTATAAACCGTTCCTTGCTGTTACTTTTCTCTGTCACCTATCGTTCTGTAACTCATCCCAGAGTCCTCTTCCATTCTATCCCTAGGTGGTAGGCTCTACAACAGCATGAACTTCATCTGTTTCACTCACTAATTCATCACCAGTACCTAGAGCAGTGTCTGACCCTTCAAAGGTACCCAGTAAATGTTTGTTACGTGGTTGAAAGTAGAGACATTAAGTATGTAGATACAGGTTTGTATTTATAGCTTTGGTAGAAAGTTGAGGTGGCTTCTGACTTCTCCCTAAAATTCTATGTGAGATCATCAACTAAGAATGATGGGGAAGGTAGGTTGACTGAGATTTGGGAGAGGAGAGAAGGCTTGAAAGTGTAGTCGGAAGAGGGGAAAAAATGAAAAGATACAAAAATGCAGAAGAAGTAACACAGCGTTGAGGGAGTAGTTGAGATTGATGGCAGTGAGTTTACAGTTGTACCAAGCTTTGTTGGGTGATTTTTGAACAGAAGACATATACCTTATTCAGTTCATGTAACCGTAGGAGATAGGTGTTTATTTATTACCGTGTTACAGATGGAGCAGTAGGCTTGAACATGAGCCCATTATCCTAAGGCATCGAGTGCTTGTATGTGACAGAGCTGACTTTCAAACCGAAATCCTTTTGACCATCGAGGCTGCACTCTTGTCACTGCTCCATGCTCTGCTATGAAGAGTAGACACCACACAGTGTGCCCAGGACATCAACTGGAACATGGAGAAAAAAAATAGCAAAACTTATATTTATATGTTATTCTTTTATGTTTTTCCTTTTTCAGAAGTTTCATATATAAAGTCCATAATATATTAGCTAGTAAGAGTACATGTATAAATAAATATGCATATATTGGCAGTACAGTCTCAAACTATTTTTTATTGATGGGGTACATGATCAAGATGTTTGGAGACCATTGTCATGAAAGAAAAAGCCCTTGCTTGCTGGTTAAAAATCTGGGGTTATTCCATTAATAAAGTGCAAGCTCTTGGGCTAATCTCCTAACTGATCAGCAGCCAGAGACCCTGCATTTTTAAAATGAGGGTCCTGGACTTATTCTGACAGCTAGGTGCTCTTAGGTGCTAAAAATCCTTGAAAAACAGGACTAAAAAAGTAGAAGGATAGATAATATTAGAAAATAATGTTAATATTTTCTTGTCACCATTGAGAGAATGTAATTTTTCAATCCATGAAGTTTTCTCCCAATATGAAAGAAATAACAACCATACTAAATTATATTTTGAAAATGAAGAGTAGGCAAAAAGAAAAAGAAAAGAAATCCCCCACTCTAATTCAGCCAGTTTACATTCTGAATTTCTATTTTTCCCTAGTTGTACTCAGAGTGCACATGTTCTGTTTTTTTTCATGTAATAGTTCTTCATTGGTTGATTAAGTCATTTTAAATAACAGCATAATGTTCTCATCGAAACACTGGATTTTTAGACTGATCGCAGCTTTTCGTATTATAAATAATGTTGTTAACATGTTTGTGTATGGAGCTTTACCTTTATTTTGAGTTATTTCCTTATAAATTCATAGAGGTAGAATTACTAGATGCAGAAAATGTAAGTCATTTGCCAGATTGCTTCCCAAAAGGACTGTAGCAGTTCCCAAGGCCACCGCTTTCATCAGAACCCTGGCACTGCATGTTGTTACTAAGAAAACTGTTGCCAGCTTAACAGGCAAAAAATTTATATGTTTTAATTTTGTTTCCTGTTTGTTACTAAATTTTAGTTTTTTCCAATTTGTACATCTTTTAAAAATTATATTCTCCTTTAATATGAAGACTACACTTGATCCTAAATCTTGGTTTCTAATGTCGTTCTCTAATAAAAAGAAGACTTGGTTGAAGTGTAACTGAAACACTATGAAATTAATTAATAGTGAGCAAATGCTGTGAACTTCTAATAGGAGGAACATTTAATGTGGACAATACATTTACTCAAGTATCTTTCAGAAACTCTTAGGGAGCCTGACTGCAACATATCTACTAGTTGAATGCATGTAAATTTGATATGCTGATTTAGAATAATTCATATTATGTAAAATGTCTACTTAGAGAAAATTTCTTTTTATTTACTTTACTTTAATGGGTCTGAAATTTTAAAATTAAAACATCATGCATTAGGGAATATTATGGTAACAAAAATTACTTACATTTGAAAGCTGGAGATTTGTTTCTGTTTTTAAAATAACCTCAGCAGAATTGTCAACCTCTAAACAGATTTTTAATTTTTATTTCTCTGAAGATAAAGATTTAGACTCAAATATCATGACCTTGTTTTCACCAAATTGTTTTTCTTTCCTTCATTGACATACTTAGGTCATTTTTCAAAAGCTAATAAAATGAAAACACCTAAACAATCACTCAGCCAAATAGAAACATTATTTATGTTTTCGGTGTCTTCTGTGTTCTCGCATGTTGTATTTCCCTGCATTTCTCAGTATAGCTATCATGAGTTTTGTATTAATCATTTCCTTGTTTTTCTTTATAAATTTATCATATATATGTATCTGTAAACAATAATACAGTTTAAAGTGTATTTTACTTATACATATATCAATACGTTGAGAGTCTGTTGTGCACAACTGTATTTCATTCACTGTGAGGTGCCGTATAGGATTCAGTTATTTAGATACATCATACTCCTACCTATCTATACATTATCCTTTTCATGGACATTGGGTTGTCTTTAGTCTTTTATATTTCAAAAAAGGATGCTGTACATGCCTCCTGGAACACATTTATAGGAGTTCAAATAGACTTTTAAAACCGTTTTTTATGATTATTAAGTTGAGGAGCCCAAACAGATTTTTATTTTTCTCAAATAAGTATTTTTTTTAATTGGATGGGCCAAATTGGCAGGACAGGAAGTAAAGTTAATGACTAGTCCTTTTAAGTGCTAGTGAACTCATGGAATGATTATCCGTAAGTCAGAACTCACTTCGATGAGAACACATGCTTGATGTCTTTCTATTCTTGTTTCTAATTATAGCCAATTGAAAAATGCATCCATTGAGCCAAATTTATTTTGCCATTTCATCTATTAATATAACTAATATTTGGATAGAACTCTACAGTTTAGAAAGCACTTGTACATGCTGTATTTCTCTTGAGTTTCACAAATATCTGAGAAAGTAGGTATGATTATTTCTTTTGTTAGATTTATAAACTAATGATCCATGAGATTTAACAGACTTGCTCTGATTTCAAACTCTATTACCTCTCTGAATATATATGTCATATACCATTAATATTTTATAAACACCTTTTTGTGGGCATAGTGGATCAATATGTTATCATTTCTTTGAGAACACTGATTAAAATTTAAATTTCTTCCACAGTTCCATCTGTCTTACGCAGAGAAAGAACTGCTGGAGAGAGAGCCCAGAGGAGAAGCCCATCAGGAAGTTCTCAGGCGAGCAGCCAAGGACCTTCCCATCTACACCAGGACCATGTCTGGAGGTAGATGGCAAAGAGTTTTTGGCAGGACAGGTTTTGGTGACTGTTAGAAAGCATATTTATACTGGAAACGATCACTCACTCACTGAAACACATTGTGTTATGACCTGGATCATTATTCAGTCAGCTCCATAAAACAGAATGGAAGCTTGAATAGTGCTCTGGCACAGACATCTCAGCCAACTCAGAACTGGCTTTGCTTCTTATTTTACCCTCCTGGTTGTGCTCAGTGAAGGTGTTGGAACAGCTGAAATCTTGATTTGTGGTTGTATTCACTTTTAAAGGTTTAATTGTAGACCTTCCTGTTCTTTTTAATTTAATTTAAAAGAGCAGTATCTATAATGAACATAACATTGATAATTTTACATGAATTTAAAAGTTACTATATAAATTATACAAAACTTAATTCAGGTATGGATACAATTTCTTTATCTTTAAAATGTATGGTAATTTTTAAATAAAGGCAACTTAATGTCACTTGGGTCAAATTTTTTAGGTAACTTAACAAGTATCTAATTAAAGAGATGTCTTGCAAATTGAACATATGGACCACCAAAACTCACCAGGAGAGTCTGTGACTTTAGACCCATGTACCCATTATGGTAACCACTAGTCCTTTGTGACTACTGACGACTTAAAATGTGACTATAAGTGTAAAACACATGACAGGTTTCAAAGACTTGGTATGGAAAAAAAAGTAAAATATGTCGCTAATAATTTGTATATTAATTATATATTGAAATAATATTTTGAACATATTAGGTAAAGTAAAATACATCATTAAAATTAATTTCCCCTGATTCTTTTTACTTCTTTTAACGTAGCTTCTAGAGAATTCACGGGTACTCACTGGGCTCGCAGTGTATTCCTTCTGGAGGCACGGCCTCACGCTCTGATTACTCCCCAGGAGCCAGTGGTACCTCGTAGCTTCCCTTGGGGTGCACCTGGGAGACGTGTGCCTTCAGGAGATGAGCAGCCCGTGCCACTCATCTCCGGAATTCCTGGAAAAGAAAGTCATAAGGGGACGATTAAGAACTTATTTCAGCAATGAAAACAACTCATCTTGGCCTTGTTGTCTTATAAAAAAAAAAAAGCAAATTTTATTCTTAGTTTATAGCGGACGTTTCCTGTTTTGGTCATTCTAGTGTTAGCTAATTTAACCTTGGCAATTGCTCACCAGCATTTTTTTTTCCAAATTTTAAATTCATTAGTTTGGTTTTTCTGTGGTCCTACTGGACTGCTCACTTAACTACTTTCCTGTAGTTTTGGTAAACTGAGTGCATGCTGTCAAGCGCCTGTGTACTGAATGAACATCTCGGCATCAGTCATCCATAAGACACAGCTGGCCGTTGTCTTTGATTAGAGAAGACAGGAGCAGGACTTTGGTCCCAAGAATCAGAATTCTCTACTGGAAGTATTTCTTCCACTACTCGCTTCTGATCTTGTATCTCATCCAGCAGACAAGATGTGAGCTCTTTCCCAGTTTAGGCAACTGATTGAGTTTACCCACAAATTTCTAAATTGTGTTTCTCGTAAAAGCTGCTAAAATGTGCTTGTATTCTCACCTAATTATCCTGGCAGGCACAGGGGATACATTGATTTGAGGGAGACCCTCTGTGTACTTTGATAGACGTGGACATGGTAGCATCCTTTGTGAGCCTTACTAGGACTATTTTATGAAGTATCCGTATACTCAAGAGTGCCTTCGAACAGTTTTCCCGAAAGATTCTCTTTTCTTGGGAAACCTTTTCAGAGAACTGAGGCTGTAGGCGAGTTGTTCCGTTTTTGTATTTACTCAGAGTCAAATATGTCACTTTTTTACCCAATTAAATTCATTATGCTTGTTAGAATTTAAATTTGGATAGATGATTAAGAGCCATATCATTGTATATTCAACTCACTGTAAAATCTGAGGCTAAGTGGAGCTTTTTGTTCGTAGCAATCCGCTATTGTGACAGATGCCAACTCATAAAACCAGACCGCTGCCATCACTGTTCCGTCTGTGATAAGTAAGAACACCTTTTACTTCTAAAATGTTTACATGCTGGTGCTCTTTTTATATAATGTGTTAATTTCCTTTTCTGAGTGTGACTGAGGACCATGATGAATTGTCCCTTTTCCCCCCGATTCATTTGGACATGAATGAAGTGCATGATTTTTAGCAACTCAGACTTGGCTAGCTCTAGTTAACAAATCCTTCTGTGACTGATTTCCATCTTTATAAAGATGATCAGCTTCATGACAGTCTGGTGTTATATAATTAAGGGTCCAAGGACACTACTACTTGGCTTAAGACTGGACATTAACAGAAAAGTTTTATCCAGACTTTCTGTAAATACGTTGACATTTTGCACTTTCTTTAGCATAAGATAGTTATATATTAACATACTGCATTGTTTTTAGAAAACGAGTTATTTTATTTGCACCTTAAAGCTTGTGTATGTTGAATTTAAAGTTCTATTATTGTATCATATATAATTGGCCACAGGGTTTGTTTTAGATGAGGACTTGTGCTGTTATTCAGTTTTTAGATAAGTAAATAATCTTGCAGTATTTTACTTGCCACCACTCTTTTGAAGTAACTGTTTTATATTTCCTTTTTATAATGTATGGGGATTACAGTTTTGTGGGATGTTGAGTTTTGTGTATGTGGTTTTTTTTTTTAGATGTATTTTGAAGATGGATCATCATTGCCCATGGTGAGTATGGCCCTATGCTTAAGTTCTTTCCTTTATAACATAATAAGTTGAATCATTGATCTTTTTAAATCGTTTTATGAATGATATCTTGCCTTTGCTGACCTAGGAGGTCCTTTCAGATTTAGTTTGTGATATTTGTTTAGTTAACTCAGAAGAACCTTTCTTTATTCAGGAGAGTTTCCATGAAATAATTTTAACACCAGTTGGTTAACAATGTAAAAGTTATTTTCTCATATTTGCTCAGAGCAAATGCGTTTCTTTTTTGCATGTGTATAAACACAGAAATTCTGAAATACTTCCCAGAAATTACACCAAAATGTACACATAAATTATACACAGTGCTTCACTTGAAGTTTTTCTAATAAAGCTGCCTGTTTTTAAGAAAGTAAAGTATTACTAAAAATATGTATTATTACTGTATTTCCTCAAGTAAAAAGTACATATCGAACTCTAAAATACTTGGTCATTATTTACTGACTTTCTCTGACAAATTACACCATGCCCCTAAGTAGAAGTTAAAGTAGGCTAAATTAGATGTTGTAAAAATCTATATTCAAAATCATTTTGCTTTCTATAAAAATGCTATTTGTCATCTGATACAAAAGCTGCTTCTTACATTCCTCTTGGAAGAGAAACAGTCTTTCCTATTCCTTCTCATGTTCCCCTAGTCCTCAAAAGGGTCATTGTCTTCATCCGCATGGTCCAGTCTTAATGCACTCGGCCTTTGTCTGTCCATTCTCTCCTCCTGAAACCAGTACAAGTAAGTGAAGGAAATGTCCCTTGTCCTTTTGTAACAGAACACAATTAGATGAGGCTTGTGTGGAACTGTCTGCAGTATTCTTTCTTGCCGTTATTTCCTTCAGATATCCTAAGAGGCAATCTCAGTAACTGGTTTGCACTCGTACTGGAATCTTCTAGAGCTGCAGATGTGACTGTGCTCATACAAGGTGCACGCACAATTTTTGCCCTCTTTATGAATTCATTTGCCATACAAAATACCCTTAAGTTCCAGCATGACTAAATCTAATGCTGTTCCCTTTACCTTGTATCTTTTGAGGGAGGAAGATATAAACATTTTTCATTTTCCCCCCAAATTTCTAGTATTTTCATAAGCCCAGTAAATGTTTAATTTTTAATTTTTTAATTAAAAAATTTTTTATTGCAGGAACACTTACCATGAGCTCTGTTCTCTTAAAATTTTGAGTGCACAATACAGTATTGTTAACCTTAGGCGCAGTTGAGTAAACATTTTTCATATCAGCATAGTTCCACTGTAAACATTGAGAAAGTCAATAGAGAGCGAGGTTACCTTACCCACGTTAGAGCAGAAACAAAGGTATCTGAGGAGAGGAAACATGTATGTTCAATGCAATGGGTATGTTATACCAGTTAACAGAGTTAACCTTCCATCTAGGTCTTGTGTCATGTTTGTACAAGATCGTCCAGGAATTCCCTTGTCTTTATGAAAAAGGGAAAAAATTAAAAGCTTTGATAGAAAAATGACTATAAAGTACAAGTGGTATTTGTATTTATGTTTATTAATAAAGTAGTTGAAATTCTTACTGTCCCCACCCCCATCTCCAAATATAATGACTTCAGAGTAAAAACGGAGAATTATAAATCTCCATATTTGGAATCATAGCACATAAAGTTGGTGCTCAGAAAAGATCTCACAGTGCTTTTTTTGACAGAGAAGGAAAATGAAGTTCTTAGAGACTGTCGCACTTCATTAGGGCCTCATAGTCAGCATCAAATGTGCATGACGACCTGGCTGCCTGGCTCCCAGTCCTGTTTCTTTTCTTAAACCTCCCATTTAATGTACTTTGATCATCTGGTTGCTTCAGTGGTGCCCTACGGCAAGTGGCTTGTGAAGATACTTCATCTAATTTGGGAAAGCCTGAAAGATTTTTAGATTACTTAATTGTAGTTAGGAATCAAACCCAAAGGTAACATAGAGAAGAACTTACAAAATTCCCCTTATCTGCTTGATATTAGTAGATTTCTCACAAGATCTAGGCTTAAGGCATGTGCTTATTTGAATAATTGGGCAGGAAATACAGTTACAGGGGTCATGATTGTTTGAAGCAGAATTACATATCAAATTTTAAAAAGCTGAACACGGAAATTCCTTTCTAGTGAAATGAATGTCTTTAAATGTTTGTATGTGTAAAGAAATCTTACGAGTTATACTTAAAGAAACACCAATACATTTTAAATGATAGGAGACCAAATACTTGTGTTAAGGTTGAACCTGTGTATACCTAGGGCGACAATGCAAAACTCATTGAAAATGTTGTTTTTGTGTTTTGTTAACAGGGTGAACAATTGTGTTGGATTTTCAAATTATAAATTTTTCCTCCTTTTCTTGGCTTATTCTCTGCTGTACTGCGTTTTTATTGCTGCTACAGATTTACAGTATTTTATCAAATTTTGGACCGTAAGTCATTACCTTGGTGACTTTTTTTGGTATACAAAAATACATATATAGATTTTCAGTAGTGAATTAATTTAGGCACTAATGTTATAGACAGAGCTAATTTTTATATAATCAGTCCTCATTATTCGCAGATTCCGTGTTTGTGAATTCACCTACTTGCTCACGTTTATTTGTAACCTCAAAGTAAATACTCAGCATAGCTTTTGTGGTCATTTGCAGACATACACAGAGTAGGAAAAACTTGAGTCACCCATGTGCACATTTCCAGTCGAGATCAAACAAGATGACCTGCTGCCTTCCTGTTTGAACTCACATACTGTAAATAAGTGTGCTTTTCAGTGTATTTAGTGCCATGTCTTTTGCATTTTTGTGCTTTTTTTGTTGGTGATTTCATTGTTTAAAAGGTCCGCAAGCATAGCACTGAAGTGCTGTCTAGTGTTTCTGAGCAAAAGAAGAGGCTGTGATGTGTGCCTCCTGGAGAAAATATGTGTTTGGATAAGCTTCCTTCAGGCATTAAGTTATGATGCTGTTGGCTGTGAGTTTTATGTTATTTAATATATGTTAAATAAGGTATCAATAAGGTGATTATAAACAGAAACATGCATAGAACAAGGTTACATATTGATCATTTGACAAAAATGTTGTAACCAGAGGTTTGCAGGAATCTAACCCTGTGTTTTCCCTGGAAGAGGTGGTTCAGGGTTCACAGATTCGGTGTTCATGGCAACTTTATAGAACATCACCACTGCGAATAACGAGAATTGACTATATAAGAAGTTTTTTTTCCCAGTATTTAAAAACAGAAGTATTTCTTTATGTGTAGAAAGATTATCAAACTGTTATGTCTATGATGTTCTGAATTGTTATTAGGTATATGCTTTAGGCAGCTCATTTTCTTTTCTGCACTGTATATTTTAAATGTAAGCAAAATGAAATTCTAATTGTGGTTTTTAAATACCCAAAGACACTTAACTCCTCATGAACATCAAACAATGGTAAAAAAAAAAAAAAGTTATCCCCTGCCAGAATTGCTTTATTACATGCATTAAATGATCCTTCATTTATGGTAAGACTTTCTGAATTGCTGGATCATTGACGTGAGATTCGAGCCACATTCAGTACCAGAGATTTGTTGAGGGCCTACTATGTGCGGGTTACATCGCTAAGCGCTAGGAATACAAGGGCGAATGACCATGCTCCTCGCGTTCAAGAGCACTTCCGTGTCCAGCGAGAAGAATGACCCCTGACGACTGTCCGAGAGCATATGCCTCACTGCTCCTCCTTCCTGAGGATGGTTTCATATCCAAACCACAAAGGTGTTTGTGGAGGAATGACTGGTTTTCAGTGTGAGGACTCTGCTGTCAAAGCCGTCAGTGAGAGCTTGTGACCTGGGTCAGTCTGGCAGGTAGTACAGGTCACTGGAGCAGCCTCAGCAGGGGACCCCTCCTAGCAGCTCAGGTGCTTCACTCAGTGGCCCCAAGCCTGCCATGCTGGAGGGAGGGCAGATCTCCTTGGACATATGCACAGTGAGAGGCAATCTGGTTTTGCTCCGGGATGACCGTTTTCATCCAAAAGGTGTTGTAAGGTTTATGTTAGATAGGTGTTATACACGGGTGTTGACCTTTGCAGTGAGAACATTATTTAAAATCTCTTAAAGCCTTATTGTGAGTGTGTTGTATGTGTTCTTGTAGTTGATTCTGTTGTTTGTAGTGATGTAAAGCATCAATGAGAATAGTAGTTAACTTGTGCCAGTTCACCTTCATTTTCTGGCATTATAATAAAACTGTTTAAACGTCAGTCAATCTGGAATATGTTAACGAAACATTTTCAGAAAGTCAATTCAAAACTATATTCTGTAGCTTACTTTTATCTTGCTTCCTACTGATAAAGTTTATACACATATTACCATAGTTTTTCTATGAATTTGGTGGTACAAAACAAATGAAATAGTCCAAATTTTAATCTTTTCCATATATATATATATATAGTGTGTATATATATATATATATATATATATATATATACTCATGTTATAGTAAACATTTATTTGAATCTGAAGATGTATTTTTTTCTCAAAGTTTTAGCATAAAGCCATGTATCTTTCTCCAGATCTAAATTTAAGGAAAAATTTAAACAAACAAAAATCTTATTTATAAACATAGGGAAATACTCATCCCTTTGACAAAACATTTTATTTTCTTCCTTTCTTTATAGAATGGCCTACCTGATACTCAAGCCAAGTTCCATATTATGTTTTTATTCTTTGCTGCAGCTATGTTTTCTGTCAGCTTGTCTTCTCTGTTTGGCTATCATTGTTGGCTAGTCAGCAAAAATAAATCTACATTAGGTGAGTATCCAATTCTTGTAGTTAACAGAACTTTAAATACAAAACTAGACATTCCTCAGAAGTTGCTATACGAGTAAATGCTAACCTGTCCTGAAACTGTAAAAATCACTCTTATTTCCCGTATTGTCTTGTGGGACAAATACAAATTCACTCATTCCATTTATTTTTTGACTGTCCATTGTGTGTGAAACATTGTGTATATACAGTGGTGAGCAAGGTTAAAACAGTCCAGAGACGGACACGGAGAGTCAATAGCCAAACATGAAAGTGACTAGAAAATGCAAAGTGATTTGAAGGAAACAAGATGCTAAAGTGTGAATCAAGGGCTAGAGGTGGTGAAGGGAACCTGTTGGGACAGAGTGGTCAGGCAAGAGCTCAATTAAATGAAAAGTATTTAATCTAAGCAGTCAGTCATGGAAAGAGACAGACCATCTCAGGCAGAGAAAACCGAATTCCAGAAGCCCTACAGAGATGGGATGCAGCAAAAGCAGTGCTTTGCAGGCAATGTACAGCCATAAATGCTGACGGTAAAGCAGGAATTCCTCAAGTCAGTAACTTTACACCTTAAGGAACTACAAAAAGGAGAGCAAAGTAAACCCAAAGCTAGAAAAAGGTGGAAAATAATAAAAATTAGACAGGAGATAATGGGAATAGAGAATTTAAAAAAACAGAAGATCAACAAAATCAATTACTTCATTGAAAATATCAACAAATTTGACAAGCCTATAGTGAGAAAGAAAAAAAAGAGGACTTCAATCATGAAAATCAGAAATCATGACTCCCAGCTTTGCAGAAATGGAAAATGATTGTAAGAGAATTCTGTGAACAATTGTACATCAAAAAATTAGGTCACCTAGGTGAAATGGACACATTCTTAGGAACACGCAAACTACCGGTTTGACTCAAGAAGAAATAAAAACCTTAAATAGACCTATAACAAGTAAGGAGATTGAATCACTAATTTAAAACCTCCCAACAAAGAAACACCCAAGACAAGATGGTTTCACTGGTGAGTCTACCGAACATTTAAGAAGAATTAACACCAATTCTTCTTAAACTCTGCCAAGAGTTAGGAGAGAGGGAAGTTTCCTAACTCATTCTATGAGGCCAGCATTGCCCTAATACTGTCTGACCAAAGTCAAAGATACCACAAGAAGACTACAGACCAATATGCTTTATAAATATATGTGCAGAAACCCTCAGTAACATCTGTAAACTAAATCTAGTAACATATTTAGAGGATTATATACCATGACCAACTAGGCTTTATCCCAGGCATGCGAGAGTGGTTTAAGATACAAAGATCAATCAGTGATAATATACCACATTAATAGAACATTGATGACCTTGTTCAAGTTCCATTGCTGTTGTTTATTTTTTGTGTGATTTTGGGCATGTCCCACAGCCCCTCTGAACCTCAGCTTCCATAAGCAAAGTGGGCATAACTGAATACAGCATATGGTTCTGCACTGGATCCTGACTTGGACAGAGACTTTAAAGTACATTTTTAATCAGCTAGAAAAAACATTTACGATTGGATAAAATTTTCATGAAACTGGAAAATGGAATTTATTAACTGAAAAAAGGTTGCAGTCTCACTTTGGTTGAAAAACACATATATTTGTATCTATTTCTAGCCAGCCAGCCAGCCACCTATCTAATAAAGATCTAACAGATGTAAAGTTTTCATTTATTTGCTTGTTGGCATTTCTGATTTTCTACAATGCATGTGTGCTGCTGCAAGAATAAAAGGGTTACTTAAAAATTAAAGTAGATCTAGTCATATTTTCTATTTGTTTTAGAATAGACCATCTTCACTGCAGGGCTATTGGTAGGCACATAAGTAGTCAGGGGAAGCCAGCCATTGGTTTTCAGAGTTTCCTCATTCAACCTGGTCATTTCTAACTCTAGGGGTTACTGGTTGATGTGCTCTTTACTCATGTGATTGCTGTCCCATCTCTTGTAGAGGCATTTAGAAGTCCAGTCTTTCGACATGGAACAGATAAGAACGGATTCAGCTTGGGTTTCGGTAAAAATATGCGACAGGTTTTTGGTGATGAGAAGAAGTACTGGTTGCTCCCCATTTTTTCAAGGTACTTTGTTGTGAAAGTGTTCAGCCTTTAGACTAATGCAAGTCATCCAACAAAAGAACTCTAATTCTGGATAAGAACTCCTATTTTTTAAAAGTATTATATTATGATTCACTGTTATATCCATATGGAAATCAGTTCGTCACATCATCACATCCCCATAAACATGCTGTATTGAAGACAATGTCTGAGGCACACATTTTGTCCATAATATAATTATGTTCTACTCACAGACGTCATCTTTTTTACTGCGCAATTGTGTTTATTTTAATTACAGTCTAGGTGATGGCTGCTCCTTTCCAACTTGCCTTGTTAACCAGGATCCCGAACAACCATCTACTCCTGCAGGATTGAATTCAACATCCAAAAAGTAATCCCGTTTTTTTTTTTCTATTTTACTTTCAAATAATATATTTTATCCTTGAGTCCTATGATTATATGTTCCTTTGAAAAAAAATTTTAAGAACTTAAGATAATTTACTACAACTGGTTTCCACTTGGGATGAAGGAGGGAAGAAAGTGTGACTGGGGAGGGGTCCCTAGAGGGCTTTAGTTACAATCATACAATTCTAGTAGTCATCTGGGTGGTCAGTAAACAGGTGCTAATTCTCCATACACTTTGGTTTATTGAAATATAGTATGATTTTCTAAATGTAGTGCTTAAAAGAAAAAAATTGTAAGCCCAAGTTAGTCTCCTTATGATCAAGTGAGCAGCCAGGTAGACTTTCCCTCTGACCCTCCAGGTCTCTCCTCTCCGTGGGAACTGTTAGAAAGAGATCAGAAAAACTTCCCCGGATCAGGCCTTAGAAGATCAAATGGAATCCCAGCCACCTGCTTGATAGTCCTGTTAGCAATGTGCACCGTGTTCCTGGTAGACTCTTTGAAGACCTCTAAGCATGATCTGAGCCACTTCTGTGGAGAGAAGGAGTCTGGGGAATTCATTATCTGGAGACACCGTCCTCCACATTAAGTCTCTTGGCTCCAGTCTATCAAGCATTTGAGGAAGACCTGAAATTTGACTCTCACTTTGCTACTAACTGGCAAAAGGCAAAACACCAAAACTTTAAATATGCTTTATATGAAGTTTTTAAGTTTAAAACTTATGTTTTACATCTTTAAGACAGATTTTTGTATTTTGGAATAGGACCATACCTCTCATTTTTAAATGAAAGCCAATAGCAAAAGCATGATCATAATCTTAAATTTTACAGATCTTCCTTTTAGGAACACCCTGTGCACGGCACCTTTGCTTACACTACTCCTGTCCAGTTCCCATTTCTCACTGATCACAGCCTTTCTCCCATGGAGCCTGACATGACACCAGAATCCTTCGCAAGGCAGTGACCCTGGTAGCCATTCCAGAATCATTTAAAATTGTCGCAAGATGAAATCTATTTGCCACCTCATCCCCAGAGTGAGCTGTGTACAGATTAGGTCTTTCCAGTTAATGAGGAGGCCGTTCTGATCTGTGCCACAGGGACATTCAAGGCCACCAGAGTCTTACTGGGTCTTGCCCTATAAATTTTGGCTTGAAAATTCAGGAGCTAAATTCTAATGTTTTTTTTAAAACCTCAGTGCAGAAAAATCTAGTTTTAATAAATTATTTAGAATATGTCTTCATGCTTTTACAACATTTAACAGCAGTTTTCAATATTTTTTTTTATCCTTGTTAAGTGGTTTTTGTGGTTTAACACTGTTTGGGTTTTAGAGATAGTGTTTCTCCTGCTAAGTGTACCATGGGTATTAGGAGAAATCCTTTCTGGCACTGTTACCTGGCTAGGTGATCTTGAAGAGTTCAAGTACCCTCTCTGGGCTTCTCTTCCCTTTCCTTTTAATGTTGAGATTGGATTTTGACAGCTAAATTCTCTTCTACAGAATTCTACAGTTCCCCCTGATTTGCTTGTATAAATTTGCTGTGGATGGTGCTGGTCTCCTCTCCGTACTCCAGAGCTGTGTATTTGTCAACTTAACGTTCCCACCTACATGTCTTAACGTCATTGCCGACTGAACAAGTGCAAAGCAGATCTCTTGATTCCCAGCCGTCTTATACCATCGCCCACACCTGAAACCTGATTCTCCTCCCTTTTTTCATAAGTTGGCGGTCGTGATCTCCATTCTCCCAGGTGCTCGGGCCAGAAACTTTGAAGTCACCCTAGATACCCTCCTTTCAGTGACCCTGTGTAACATTCCATTTGCAAATCATCAAATTTAGGATAGATAGACAAATAGATGTTCCCTCAAAATGTATCTATTACCTGAATACTTCCTTATCACCTCCCTGGTGCTTTCCTGGTTGAAGCCGTCATTTTTCACATAGAGTATTTCAGTACCTTTGTTACCGATCTTTCTGACTCCATGTTTGCCCAACTCCAGTCCATTGTCCATTAAAAAGTCAGAGTGATTCTTTTAAAACGTACATCAGGTAGTGCCACTCTCCTGCTCAGAACCTTCCACTGGTTTCCCATCCTTCTTAGCATGAAAGCTAATGAATGTCCTTACTTTGTCCTGACAGATCTGGCACCGAGCACCTCTCTGGTGTCATCCCTTACCACGTTCCCATCACTCATAGTTCTTGGACACATAATCTTGCTGTTCCTCAGATACTCCAAGCATGTTCCTTATTAGTTAGTGCCTTTGTACCTGCCAGTTCCCCTTCCTGAAGGTCCTTCCTCCAGATCCGGAATGGTCTGTGCCTTCTCGTCACTCACTTTCTGCTCAGGTGTAACTTTACAGTAGCGGCCATCTTTAAAACCCTTCGGGTAATAGTAACCTGCCTCTCCCTTCCCTTTATACTGTCTTTTATGATTGTCATCGCTCTTATCACCTGACTTATTTTTTATTACTCTTCCTCAATCACAGCAAAATTTCCGCGAGATCAAAGACGTTGCTCATTGTTGTCATAAGTTCTCAGTGACTCTTGTTGAATGAATGGATCCTTGCCATTTGTTAGAGCGCTGTTAGCAGTAACCAATCTCAGGAGTCCCTGAACCAGGACTGGGCACGCACACCTGGTCTGTGGTCCCTTTCTTGAGGAATAATCAGAATCAGAATAAAAGCAGTTTTTCATATGAATAGGAGCCGTGCTTTTCTTTTTCAAGATTTTCCTCCAAAATTTTAATGAGGGTTGTTAAAGCTGCACAAAATATTCTCAAATTTTAGATAATGCGGTAATTATTAAGGAGCATAGGCATATCCTTTAAAAATATATGTGAAATTACTGATGGAAGGATTTTAAGTAGTTTTTTTCTTTTGAACATTATTATCATTACTATGTTAGGGTGTTGTAAAAAGTACACTAATACTTTCTATGGAAATAATTTTTTTAATCAAGTGAAATGTTATTTTAATCATTGTATATTTTTTTCATATTATCCAATGGGTCAGTATGTGGCACATCTACTTAAATTTTAAAACTTAAATTCTTTCTTTTAAACTCTTTCCTTCCCAAATTAAACATCAGATTTTTAAGACCTGAGAATGTCAGGTGTTTTCAACATTTCTGCAAGATAATGTTCAAATTCACTGTTTCAGCTTTAGAAAGAAAGACAGAGAATTCTTTGTGCGAGACCAGTTAGGCTGCTTTAGAAACACTATGCCAGTTTTTTCTCAAACTTACCTTTCCACCATCACCTTCTTATGTTTTTTCCCATATCCACGTGCCACTTGTGAAATTAATATTTTTCTTTAATATATTTATTTAAATTGGTACTTAAATTTATCTTTAAACCAAACTTTATATCACTGTCATAAGTGAGAAACTAGCATAGTTTGCCATAGAATATACCTTAAGAAAAAAAAATTGGCAATAAAATATTGTTAGGTTCTGACTAGATTCCGTTACCTGCCCAAGTCTAAGGCTCAGGCCTATTCTCTGTATTAAAAACGGAGATTTGCCAAAGTTAGCAACTGTCATCGTATTGCAATCAGAAGAAAGAAAAGAGAACTGAGGAGAGACTTTTCTCCCTGTGAGTCAGTGAGGTTTATTGCCTTGTTCCGGTTTTCCCCAAATTCTCTGGGGTAACTCCTGCAATTATCTTGCACCACAAGTGGTTTGAGGTCCATCCTTTGAGAAACACTCACCTTAAGACTATCAAGAGTTAATGTAATGATGATGATGATGATGGTGATGATGATGGTGATGATGATGATTTTTCAGTTCTGAAAACCATCAATTTCCTGCCAAGCCATTGAGAGAGTCCCAAAGCCACCTTCTTACTGATTCTCAGTCTTGGAGCGAGATCAGCACAAACCCGGGAAAAGGAAAAACTGGTAAGGAAACTTGTTGTGCGCCTTGGATATAGTTTAGTTTTAGAAGGTGAAAGTGGTGGAAATTTTTCATTCTATTACCTGTGGAATTCTTGTTTTGGAGTCAGACTGCCGTTGTAAGTGTAGAATTATCTTCAAAGGACTATTTGTGAGGTACTCTGATTCATGTCTGTAAGCCATAGAAAAATCACTTTGTGAAAGAGATCTACATTGCTTTTTTTTCCAGTTTAGAGAACCACATCTTTACTACTGCATATTAAATACAATGATAGAAATAAACTCAGAATATAACATTCTTTTAAATTGGAAAAAAAATGCAGTTAACGCCCACAAAAGGTTGAAAAGTATCTGCTGAAAAGGATCTCAAATTATGTAGTTCCTTTACTCGAAGATTTCTATCCAGTTTCAAAATGTCAAAGTAAAAGGATTGCATGGTTGCCGTAACTTTGTCTGCCTGTTATTTCTTCATATCCCACTCACAGTTCTGTTTTTATTTGGTGTCGATTTTAATCTTTTGATTATTACTTGGATCAGTATAGTTAATTGGCATAGAACAAGCAAGTCTTTGAAGTCAGACAGATCTGATAATCAAATCCCAGTTTGAGCACCTAATCAGCATGCGATAATTGTTACTTAACCTCTTTTTGGACTTAGTTTCCTCTTCTTTAAAATACTGCTTATTTCTCAGGGTTGGTAAGGATTAAACAAAGCATGTGATCACACATGCTGGAGTGTGTATACATGTATGGTCCCTTGAGTGGAAAACTATACACCCACGATTAAGACACTGTTAGCCAGAAAATCTCCACTTAACGGGTGTATATGTCCTCTGAAGAGCCCACCATTGACGGTGTTCATAATTTGGTGTCTGTCTCTCCACCTTCAGATGTGCCATTCCGTTTTTCAGTCTATGGGAAGTACTAGGTATTATCTAAATGAAAGCTGATGACACCTACTTGCCTTTTGAACCCTTCAGTTTCCTTAGAGACAAAGAAGTGATGTATATTTGGGTGGTAGAAAGACAAAACCCTCTTCTTCCTCTCAGAAGAGATTCATATTTCACCTTATGGTTCTACATTAACATAGAAGTGATTTTCTGGTTTCTATGTGCTTTTAATTTGGGGGCATGTTAGATGAATTTTCCGTTACTTTGATAGGTGAGTTGAGAAATTAAAGTTTAAAGGATGGTGCAGAAGAAGGAAGAGGAATATGAGAATGGTGAGATGAGAAAGGGCCCAAAGATCAGTTTGACCAGATTGAGGCAGGTAGATGAAGAAGGAGAAAGTGGTACGTTAGGTGATGTGAGAAGTGCTGGGTTCAATGTGTCTTACAGTATTTTGTTCATACCCCTACTTCCTCACGTGTGTGTCTCTATTTCTAAAATGCTTTTTTGTGACACTGGTTGTGGCCAACTGTATTGTGTGTGTGTGTGTTTCTGTGTAACCTTCTTATTAACACCCAGACTATGTACAAGACACCTTTGGAAGAATACTGGGGGGCATTCATAGATGAAAAAATAATCTCTCCCTAGCAACAACAAATTGCTAACTTACATTCTTTCTTGAAGGTATGAGCAATCCTGCACTGACCATGGAGAATGAGACCTAACTCTTCTAACAAAATTCACTCAGACTTTATGAAAGTAAGAAAAACCTTTCCTGTATTGTTGTTTTATATTTTTAGTAGTTTTCTAGTTCTCTTAGGGCAAATAATTTCCAAAAACAGTTATTTTTGAGTGGCTCAAATAAGAGGTGTCTTAGTCGACCTCTGGACATGGATTCAGCTTCAGTATCAGCTAGCATTTAGGTTAAGCTGATAAATTATAAAAAATAAGGTGATGAACAAAATTCATTTTTATAGTAAGGCGTTAAATAGCAAGAATGCAAAATATTGAACTTTACATGACAGTTTATCTTGTCATTTCATAGAATCATGTGCGATTTTCATTTTTGGTTGTTTCTATCCTTCAGGATGTACAGTGGTCATATCCTTGACCTTCCGTTAGCTGAATCTCACTGGGTCTAATTACAAGATGATTACATCTTGTTAGCACAGATCTCTGCCGCCCTATTTTCGGTCACAGTAAGACCCCAGAACGTGTCACCCTTAAAGTGATAGGAGTTCCAAATCATTTTCTTTAACACATAATTTTCTTAAACCTGAACTTCCAAATCATTTTTCTTATAACCAAATCTTTTTATACGTCTATAGTCAATAAAAAGCTACAGTAAAGAGCCCCCCTTGGAACAAAGCTAGAAACATCTTAACAAAACAAACAACTCTATGTACTGTTACAAGAAACAATAAAGAGAATTGAATATTAAATTTACCAAGATCCCTCTCTACTTTCAGATCTGTGACTTAGCAAGAGAGTAGCATCTAAAACAGAATCATTTGTGTCGAAGTACTTCATGGCTGTCTGGCTTTAGTTTGGTTTTGGTTTTGAAGAATAGACATGTAACTCCGTGTACCAGTGGGCAAGTGTTTCGGTTTTGGATAACTGTACGTGATGGTATAGTAGATCAGTCTGATCATACCTGTGGTTGGAATAGTGAAAATTTAATGTTCTTAATTTGGTTACCAAAGAGACAATGTAAATTTCTGGAAATAATTCTTAAAATGTAACTATGATTATACAGATGTGAATCACTAGCCAATACCACACGCAAAATATTATAGTTCTGGAGAGCATACAAAGTTTCACAGGATTTTTTTTTCAGTATGTTAAATTAGTTATAATTACCATTGTTTGTGATGTCTGTATTAAACATTTTACAAGTTGACGTAGTAACGTGACGTCATGCGTAAGTCAGGTAGATTTCCCAGGATTTTGACAAGATCGATGTTGTGTTTGTTCATCATTATTCTCACCACTTTGCAGTGCCAGACACAGAGTAGGTTCTAAAGAAACCATTGGTAAATAGGTGATAAAATAACATCATGAAGTTAAAAATCTCACAGAAACTTGATTTTATTACATTTGAATATATGACCATAGTGGTCATAAAAACCCAATGGCAGCATGAATCAGCTGCATGATGTGAGAAAAAAAGTCATTTTCTGATGTGATGTTTTTCGTTCTGTTGACATAACCAATGATAGGAAAATGTTTCTTTAAAAAAACTTAATTTTCCTAAGGTAGCTAATAGATAGTCAGAATAGCTTTCAAAAGCTTTTCCTGCTTTACATCTCAGACTTGTACTTCATTCAGTACACTTCATACTAAACAATATTATCTGATATTAATACACCTAATTTTATTGTATTACTAAATGAAATCTTCATAGTCTCTCCTCCTCTGTTTGAACTACGTTAGTAAATGACCTGTGGCCTTTTTATAAAATATTCCTTAGTTCATTATAGTTGCCACATAGTCATCCTGTGCCTAAACCCACAGTAGTGCTGAAGGGTAGATTAAATTTAGCCTGCCCAAACTTTGCTCTTATGCAACAGAAATTTTTAAAATGTAGTGCTTCTATGCACTTGAAATTTTAAATTATTCCCCTAAATCCCCTGCCGAAATCACTTGTCACTCCTAAACGCCCATGGGTCTCAGACAAATTGAGAACTAACAACATAGAACTCTGTCCCTCAGATTGGGGCCCCAAGCCACAGCATTGGCATCACCTGGAGCTTAATAGAAGGGCGGAATTCTGGAGCTTATCCTAGACTTACTGAATCCGAATCTGCATTTTAACAAGACCCTCCTGTCTTGTGTGTGTATATTACAGTTTGAGAAGCACTGATGTAGAGGTCTTTTTCTGTATCAAAGAACTCATCTACTGGGCCTTCTAGCATAGAAAACATTTAATTTTGAACGAGGATGTTACTGCAACAAACCATGAATGAGTTGGCTAGCTTTGTTTGCTTGTTTGCTTGCTTGCTTTTGTTTTTATCATTAACACAATGGTTTCACGTTTTTCTGTTTCATTCCAAGGTATCAATACTGTTGATGGATGGAAGAGGCTTCCCACACGAAGGCACCATTAGCCAGTTTTTCCCATTTCCCTCTGGCTGGATCTACAGAATATGAATTGATTAGTTCTCTCCAAGCCGTTGCTTAAAGCGTAACACATTTTTAACCCAGTATACAGTTTGTTTCAACTAACACAAATTCCTGTTAAATACTAAGAGTGGTTATGGTTGATGAATCAAGGACAAAAATATCTTCTATCATAAAAACCTGAAATAAATTCATGGGCCAGTTTTCACCCAAATATTTGGGTAGCACAGTTTATTACATCAAAAGCCCATTTGATCCTCTGATTTTCTGTTCATAAAATTGAAAGTATTAAGATACTGAGATTTAAAGGAATTCAAGTCACATTGTAATAATCAGCTTTATTCATAAAACCTAGTAGTTTCCTGTGAGAAGGGGGAGGTAGTAAATGGGACTAGTTTACTCCCTCCGGTGTGAATCCAGCCTCAGACTGCGTGGACTGTAAAAACTACGAATTTATTACAGATTTCAGATGGCCTGCAGTTGAAGATGACCATCCATTTTTTTTGCCGGACTTTAATCTAATTCTAGCCTTTGTTCCCTGCTGGAAAAGAAGTGTGATCGTTGAAGCTGGAGCTCAGCTGGCTAGAAAATCGTTGTCAGAACGAGTGCATTTCCATTACATCAGAAATGTATTTTCATCTCTTTCAATTATCTGAAAATTGGGGGAAAGTCTACAATCCCACTTCTGAAGATTAGTTTATGTTATTCTTTTGCTGGCTTGGCTTTTGAAAATCTCTTTTTAGGTTATTTCTCCTGTTGAACATAGAAGAAATACTGAATTTCTGTTGAGAATTCATCATGGACCAATAGATGAATCCTCCATTGATACCTGTTTTATTTCTGTGTCCTCTCATCAAAAGTTTGACAGTTTAATAACTACATAGGTCCTCAAAAACCGGCTACGATTAAATTATGTAAATCATCAAAAATCATACACTTTTGGAAATTTAGTTCAACGTGAACTAAATGGCTTGCTGTTTGGAAACTGAGTTTAAGGTAAACTAAAGTGGTGTGTTTGTTGATGCCAAAATGTTCGGCTTCAGTAAATACACCAAGAAGCTCTTGTGCCTTGTATGCACTATTAAAAAAAAGTTTTATTTTATTCTTTTTAATTTGATGGAGTGCAAGTTTTGTAAATGTTAGCAATTAGAATATGCTGTATACATTTTTTTGGTACTGATTTTGAGAATTTAAAGCAGATTACCTTTTAAGACTACACAGCTAAGGAACTGGTATTTAATCAGAGAAAACGGTATTAAAAGTTTTCAAAATCTGACTTAGACAAACTGAACACAAACTAGACTAGAAGATGAGAGGATAATGGAGTAAAAGATCCTTGCAATTATTCATCCTTGCTAAAAATACAGAGTTTTATATTAAATGACTTTATGAAAGAACCAATGTCAGCCCGGTCCATTTTATAAGTCATTTCAGTGCAGTTCTTTGAACAATAGGATGGTGGTCTTTTTCAATTTTTTTTTTTAAGCTAAAGCTTTTGATCTGAGAGTCTACTTCAAGAAATCTCAGAAGGTATGATACATTTTTACTTTTTATCTTAAAGTATTTTTGGTCATCATTTTTCACTACCTGAAGTGCCAGGTTGGAACCTGTAGCTGCTGCTTGAAGTCTTAAGGGCAACAGCATCATGTAATGTATTAAAAATTATATGCAGCCAGGTTTCCTCAAAGCACAGTACTAGAGCTGTCCTTAGTGACAGGTGTCCCCTCCTGTCAAACTAGAAGCTAGGGGAAGAGTGGGCTTTTGATTCTTCACTTTGCTAGAGTGCTGTTAACCACCCCTCTTTAGCTTTTTCATGTAATTATTGAAACACATAAATCAATACACATTAGAATCAGATTTGAAAACATATTTTAAAATAAAATGTTTTTCATTATATTGTAATGGTCCCCTTTTTGGTTTCATACGATGACAAATCTTTAAAGGGTTTTTTGTTTTGTTTTTAATTTTAGGGGATTATAATTTTTGGAGATGATGGCGCTGATCACTAGATATGCAGGATCCATTTTACTGGAGTGAATAAAGCATCAAATAAACCTGCATTTTGTATGTATTTATAAATTGCACCTTAAAAACACCTTAAACATTTTACTTTAAATACTCAGTAACTCAGATTTGAAGACACCTGAAGCATGATTCCTGACAGTCCATTAAACTGACATTTTGATTTTTCCTGTTTTTAGAGATTCTATCATATAGGTATCAATATTTAAGAATTTTTTCATTTAATAATATTGTACAAATGCTTCATATGTATTAGCTAACTATTTGCCATTGTGTAGGTAAAGAATTGTTTTTTTCAAAGATAAAGAAAAACTGCATCTAAATACAGTGATGAGACATTCAAGGAAGTGCTTATCTGCAAACTCCCTCCTCTTATTCCATAATAAAGGCAGGTTGATCACCTTTGTTAGCTGTTGATATGCAATTGCCTTTGCACTGACAATCTAAATGGCTTTAAAGATACACATTCCTAACAGACTGCCAGAACTACTACAAAACTCATGTCTGCAGCCTGCTCATAATATAGGTCTTTTGAGAAGAGATGGATGAAAGGATGATGTAATTACTCCTTAGTAGTTAAATGAGCCTGAAGACAATTAGAAACAGACAAAATTCAAGCACACTGAAAGCAACAGATAATTGGAAATTTGGTATGTTTGACAGAAAACTGTCTTCACTAGGAAAGTCAAACACAAAGGTCTTATAAACCATGTTCATAAAAAAAGTTAAGCTAGTAATCATGTGATTCATGCTTCAAGAAAACCTGTGAAAAAGCTGTTACTCTATTATCTTACCAACTAGCAAGTTTTCCCTATTTTGAAATAGTATGTGTAAACCTACTGGGCTGACTCTGGAGTTAACACTGTATACTTTGGTATACAATTATTATATTGTCAGATATTTACTTGTATAAGTGATAGTTCTGATACTCTTATGAATTTTTAAAAATACCACATATATACAAACCCCGTAAATGTTAAAAGCAAATCCGCTTACACCGTGAACCATGATGAAGGTATCCTCCAGTATGACCATCCCACCCACCTCCACAGACTACAAATTCCGACCTCGTCTGAAGTGACACAGTTCAACAGTGGATTTTCACATGTAACATACATCTCTAGGTTAAGAGCTTTCTGTGGACAACTGTCTGAAGTCATCCCAAATATTTGAACAGCCTGCACTTCTTTCCACATACTTAGCCAGTGAGGACTTATTTCCTGGAGGCAGACTGCCTTATACACCTTAAGTATTTGTTACTCTTTTCAAAGAACCACTGGAATTTTTTTTAACCTTGTCTTGGTAAAAATTCATAGATTCTCATTTTTATTGAAACTTCAGCAATTTGATCACATCACTTATTAAAAGCATTAAGTACATTCCAGCATTAGAGAAGTCTTGATTTTTAAAACTAACATAGTCTTTTCCTCCACTAGATTTAGAATTTAGTAACAAATAAACCTTTGTTACAGAACACAAGCAACTGTGTTATACTTTTTAATGGTCCAAACCACGCACTCTCCTTTTCTCTTTGCCATGATGAGTTTGTTATTCTTTTACAGTAGAGTCCTGATTTGTATCGAGTGGACATCACTGAAGGGATGACTCCGAGTAGGCTTGTTTCAAAGGAACTCCTGTGGATCATAAACTATGCACACGAAGTATCTCCCAGCATGATGGTCAGTGTAGCAAGAGGCTCTGAAATAGGATGTTTTTCTGTCTTCGGAAGAAGAGGATGTAAGTAAAGAGGGTGCTTGTCCATAATGCAATCCTAGGTTACTAAGAGTGCAGTCTCTGACACCCTTTAACTGTTCTTTAGCAACAAAAAGTTCAAATGAAATAGCCTGGCCATTGCCAATAAAGACGACTTTAAATCACTTGCAGTCTTTAAATCATTTGCACTCTTACTACAGGAGAGTGATAGCAAAAACAACACTGGTGACAATGCCCGTAGTTCTTTGATATTCCTGCTCATAGCCACTATTCAGTATTCTGTTTACACTTGGTGGGGAAATACGCGTCGGGGTTATTCCTCTTTTGTGTTGACTTAATTCTGAGTACCAGTTAAACCAAAGGGGGCCTTTTGATAAGTGATTTTAAACTCTGATGTATGCTAAAGCAGCTCCTTACTGCTCAGAAAAAGCCAGAACTATTTAGATTCAGGAAAACAAACTGATTTATGTTGCATCTTCCAGGGAAGGTTTAACAATGTAAGGAACTCAATTCTGATGTGAATGTAATACTTATCTTACTACGTCTCGTTTGACAGATAAAGGTGCTTAATCAAACTGGGGGGGAAAAAAAAAACACCATACATTGGCCCCAACGTAGAGTTCTGTTGATGCTGAATTAAAGAACTGCTACCATGGAAAGCCTCCGTTCTGTTGTTTTTTATTCAGCCGAAAGTAAGGCTACTGTCAGAATTTAGATTTCATGTCTTTTTGGGTTTTTTTTTTTTTTTGGTATGTATAGGCCCTAAAGTCTAGTATTAAAAGTACCTTGTGACCTGATCAAACGTTTATTGTGTGAAAGTTGAGTACTTTTTAAAAAAGCAACCTTAATTACACACTAACCTTAGTGCAAAATGCAAACATGTTTTAAAGTTCTTTAAAAAATATACTTAGGCAAGAAGTAGAGGATATGGATGAGTCCTGAATGGCTAGAAAGGAGCAACAGGAGGACAGTCTGCTTATCTGCATATGTACACTCCAGGTATGAAGATTTTGTTCGTTTATGTTTTTACATGTTCTTTGCCCTGGTGTAAGACTCCAGCCAGCAATAACCGATGTTAATTCTTGCTCAGAAAAAAAAGGAAAACAAAGATGTATGACACAGGTGAAATGGGTCCCTGCCAAACCAAGCACCTTACATTTTCCTAAGTTTTTCAACTTGAGCAACTCAACTTTTTCCCGCTCCTTGCATATATTGTTACATCATCCTGTCTTAGACTCCGCTACTGACATGTGGTTCCTCAGCTTCTTTGAAAATATTCTCACCTATAGTTATTCCACAGAAACTTAATAATTAGAAACTAATTCTTTAGTCACTTCAAACACAGCACTGATTTATCAAAAATAAGGAATAGCTGGGCAGTACTGGTAATATCTGACTCATTAAGAGCCAAAGAAAAACACTCAAAATCAATTGTCTTCTTCCATAATTAACTGTTGATATTGTGCCTTACGTCCTCACTTTTCAAGCGACTGTTCTCATCAAAAAGCTGATGGTCTTAAGTTTATTCTCTCTGGATACACTTCTTTGGACTGCTGCATTCAAACATGATGTAACTCCCCATCAATAAATGGCTTTGCTTGGCTAACAGATGGGCCACTTATAAACATACTGTGGTTGCAGCCCTATTTTCAATTTTTATTTCTGTAAATAAATTAGGCTGTGATGAGGTACTTCAACTTCAAAATTCCTAATTCTCTTAACTGCTGCTTTCCCATGAGTTGGGAACACTGTGATGAGTACTTAGTCTGGTTATATGAATGAATACATGTTGCACTTTTCTAGCACAGTTACACTGTGATAATTGCATAATAAATACAGTATTTTTACCATATAATTTGATAATATAATCCACACTCCAATGTACCTTAAAAACACACCATTCAAAATGCACTTTTCTTGTTTTGACATACACAGTGCTATGGTACAGAGATACACATGGCTCTCCCAATGCTGTCAGGTCATGATGTGCATCAGATTTTGTAGCATACTGAGCAGGAATGTGAAATGATGAGAATGCCATGGGCAGTTTCTGCAGCAGTTGCTCAACTTTCCCACTGTAGTGCAAAGATACCCACAGACAGCACATAAGTGATGAATGTGGCTACATTCCCATATAACTATCTTTGGACACTAAATGTTCAATTTTATATAATTTTCACATGTCTAGAAATACTATTCTTTTAATATTCTTTTAATTTTTTCCCCAACCATTTAAAAAATGTAAAATCCATTCTTATCTCATTGGCCATATAAAAACAGGCAGCAGGCTGGTTTTGGTCAGTAGGCCAGTTTGCTGACCCTTGCTCTAGTAAATTTAATAAAATATGGTGAGTCCAGAATAAATGGCTTAGGAAAACTAAAAAATTATCAACCAAATATCTTTTATCCAAAAGCTAGATTTAGTAAAATAAAGGTCATAAAGTTCCTCTTTTAGAAGTTATAATAAAATGCATTAGTTCTTAGAGACAGAAACCAAAATTGATACAAAGTATGAAATTCAGCAACTACATGGCTGTTCAAAGGCAATCTTTATAATTCCTATTTTCTTAAGAAGATGAAGATCAAAATAAAGAGAAATCAGCTAGATACCTGCTCTACTGTGTTGGCTTTAAAAAGAAACCACAGTAAGTTATCCAAATGCATTTACTTCGTAAATCTTTCAGAATAAATGCATTCCTGGAAAGGGTAGATAGAAGTCAGTTCTTAACATCTAGCTGAGGTATGCATAAAAAAATAAGTCAACACTGTTGAAATATAGAAGGTTCAGGTTGATTTTTCAATTAAGAGATTTAAAATCAGCTAGTTAATGAAGTTACTGAGTTCAGTTCAGTTGCCCAAGTTAAGAAAAAAAAAACCCACACTATCCCTCAAATAAATATTTATAAAACAAAATTACCAGTCATCAACATATATAAGAAAACATTTCTGAAGCCTTTATTTACAAAAGCTTTAAAAACAAATACCTTCTGTTTCGCAAATAATGTTTTGTTTAAAAAGGACCACCCAGTTACAGCATTGCAATATCATGAATAGAATGTACAAGGGGAACAAACCAATGTGGCTAACAGTTGGAGATTTGCTAATACTACTGATTGAAGTGTAGATAACACACATCATAACTTGTAGTCCATCATTTCAGGGCAGAGTTAATGATTATCAAAATGTCTTCCTACACATGCTCTGGTCTGGTCACATATTCTGCATGGCTAAATATTTCACAGTCTCTTTTGTCAATATATATAAAATAGATTGCAAAGATATACACAAAAAAATAAACAAGCATTACACTCCTCAGGTAATTTTATTAGCTATATTTGCATATAGCTAATATATATTTCTTGTATTTTGTTGTTTTGCACCAAATCTGTCCATTATTTATCTCTGTAGTAACTGTGAAAGCACAAATTTTTTGTCTTCTAATTTAATTTGGTACAAAATATACCTAAAGACTTACTATCTTTGGATTTTAATGAAATTGATTTGTGGAATCAACAAATCAAGAGCATCCTAAGTATGGCTATAAAATTTTTAAAAAATTAAAAATAAGGGTACACAGCAATGGAATAAAAAGAAGCAGGTCAAGGGAAGTGTGTGATCATAAAATAATTGCAGCTTCAACATCTTGGATACCAATTTCCTGGCAGACACTAAACATCCAATCACAAAGTATTTTTCCTGAAGGGTGTAAAGCTGGTTTGAAAAATTCTTCAGTCACAGAGCAGCCTACACATGCCAATTAGAACCGACAGACACTAGATGTGCTTAGAAGATTAAATACTACGTACAGAAACAGCAGTTACTAAGCTCCTCAGTAGTTTTTTGTCTTTTTTTTTTTGTAGTCTTGCTGAATCAACCATTTGCACAATGCATGTGCTTTATTCTGTGGGTCAAAAACAAGTAAATACTGTATAAAGTTGACAGACGGTCATTTTTCCAGCTAAGAGCAAGAAAAACCAAAACTGCTGATAAAACAGAGGATGTGAGTCACAATCACTCTCTAAAGTGCAAAATTGATGGTCCACAATCTCAAATAGCTAAAACTCCTGCAGAATGGAAGGGAGACATGAAACAGGGAAATAAATTACAGTCAGTGCTAGTTAATTTAGGAAAGGGAAAAAAATAATAAACCAAGCTCAAGTAGGTAAAGTTTATAGTATTCAATATGATGTAGCTTTCCCCACCTTGTCACATATATCTACTAAAAGTATATTAAGTTAAGGCCAAATTTAACCTGAATGCTTTTCTATTTATTAAGATCTGAGATAGGAATGGTCATACTTAGTACTGAAAGGCAGAAAATAAAATGAGCTATGAAAGAAAAAAAAAGAAAAAAAAGTAATGTCTATTGTTCAAGGGATTCAACAAGAGATAAAACCTATATACAAGCATGTGTGTATCTCAAATAAAATAAAAATAAAGGAACTATTTCATGTCATGACTGCTTGTTGGCTTCCTCTTCATATGCATTCCCTGTGCCATTCTGCACATAGGATGAACCAGAACCAAGGCCATACAAATGACCACAATATTTGGCATCATCAATATGATCTTCAAAGAACATCTAAAAAGGAATTTTGGAAAAAAAAAAAAAAAGATAATTTTAACCAAAAGGTACCACTAGTAATTTATATTTCAGCAATGTAAGTACTGACTGTTCATTAACTATGATGACAGCTCTTTCCTATGATGCTCCTTTGAAGCCACATGTTTAAAATCAATGACTGACTGATGTTCTCAGGATATACACAGCTCAAAAGAAACCAAAGAAAAAGACTACCAAAAAAATGTATAAACACACGTCTTTCCTATTAACACTTAGAGCAATTTTATGAGAATACAGTCAAAATCACTTCCGAGTCAGTTATCACTTGGCAAAATAGCTATTATGCTTTCTACTATTAATACATTTCTACCAAAAATTTTAAACTCCCTGAAGTGTTTTCAGTCAATTCTTTAATGTCCAAGATGATATACTCCAAAAATGCTATAGTAACTATTTTGCAAAAAGGAAAAGTTTTTTGTAAGCAAAGGAGTCCGTTCTGTTTTGTATCTGCACAGCTGGCTTTCTTTTCTCTGCATTTACCTACAGTGAAGTATCCCTGTGCCTATCACTTAACCTTAAAGGTGACTTGTGTTCATTCAATTTCACTCTTACATACCTAACTTCTTTATATTTGAAGAACTTATCTCTGCCTTTTGCCACTTAAGGAGTGTCTGCCCAACATGATTTTTAATTTAACTAACATTTCCGATTTATGTAACCCCTTTAGAATTCAAAACCTCTTTGTAAGAACCTCCTAAAAAGCATGCATTCTACTTTGTAAACCCTCGAAGGACAGAAGAACAGCAAGAGCAAATGGTATTTTCAGCAGCAGTTTAATGCCTAAGAGAAGCCAATGCCAGGGGAACTTAACATATGGATTCCTTGACTTGACAGAAGCAAAACTGATGTGTCTACAGAAAGTTCTGTGGAGTTCTCACAATAGTCATCAGTATGACATTGGATAAAAGTTGCTAGCTTCTAGCCTTCACCTAAGAAATAATATGGTTGGACCTACATGATTCCTAAGGTACTTAAATTTTTAAATTTTTTATTCTATAATGAACTTATTTTTTCATTTCCTTCTGAACTACATTT